ATCCAGCATGCATTGTCGGCCTCACGTTTATGTGCCCAGGGCCTAACCAACTCGGGGCCCTGGGATTTCTGCATTTGCAGAGCTCCGATACTCGGGGCACACCAACCAACTGGCATGCTGCAACTGTATGGACCCCACTTCGTGAAATGTTTGCACAGAGGGCTCTTGTTGATTTGCTGGCCCGCCTTCACTTAGGGCGGGCACGAGGCTTGCTGGGGCCTTAGCCCAGAACATGTACATCATGGCAAGGCCCCTTCTTGAGGGCTCAATCCTCACACTTCATGTGAGCACACCTGCGCACCAATGAGCCCAGGCATTGCAGGAAGCATTGGGATCGGAAGAGACATGAACCATCATTTTCCATAGTGTCTTTCCACTCACTCCAAATGCATATTCTTGCACTGCCTGTAGATGCCACTGACGAAGTTCATCGACAAAACGTCCTCATCCCAATAGAGTGTAAGATTGGCTAATTCGGGTCTAGCATTAGTGCCTATAGGGATGCCAACCACCTGACGGTGCAAAGTGACATCCGCTGCATAGCCATGAGTGTTAGAGATCACAAACCACAAATGAAGTAACCCACTCCCCATGAGGTGGTTAGGGATGCCATCCACTTCCTGTCCTGTGGAATCAGCAACAAGGCATAATCATATGCTTTATGAACAGCATTTAGCACATTACTAAGGACCGTGTCATGTGGAAGATTGGTGTACATTGTGGTAAGATATGCCGTCTGTGACGCAGAGCGACAAAGGGAATGCACAGTCTGTTGAGGTCCAAGACGACCTCCTTGGCACTTTGAACTATCTAGCAGCATAGCACGTCACTCTCTCGATAAAGCTCATTACCTTAGCTGCAAAGAGAGAGGATCACGCCTTGGAAAGCATAGCTGAGCGAGGAGGAGCCCATTTTTGTGATGGCAAGGGGTTAATGCGGGGTCCTGCTATGCGGGCCTGATACTGAAGGGTGACAAGCCGTAAAGTGAGGTGTAAGCAGGCAAAGATGGTTGCACTCAGTGACCCCAAGGATAGGATGAAGAGCAGGTGGAGATGTGTGTGCGTCAAGAGAAAAATCAAGACCAGGTAGGATGTGAATGTGGCAATAGTCCCAACGCCGGCATCTAGAATACACTTGCCAATATAGTTATCCAGAGTGAGCTTCAATGCTTTCATCAGTCCATGGTGCCGGCATCTTGGGGTCCTCAAAGTGGAGGGCCTGCAAATGTGTGTCTTGTATAATATCATAATCCACAGTGGCAACAAGATCATCAACAATATTTGTACAACATGGAAATACTTGTCGACAAGAACAATTGTTACGGTCGATGCAAATAGTGCAGACCATAGATCATGCACTCCGAGTCTCCGGTTGACAAATGTCTGCTGTGAGCTCAGCATTTGAGACATTTGTCTGAAGCCATTGCAGAAAGTTCGAGCACGAAGCGGATGTGGGTTGGGCTAGTGTACAAGACATAGCTTGCCAATCCGAACTAGCTGCTTGCACAATTATAAGATGCAGGCCAAGCACACAGCATAGTCAGGATCCGAAGCAGTGCCAATTAAGAACTTATCAGAACAGTCTGCTAATGTGAATTTGAGCAGAGGGGTGGGTCATGGAGGGAGGGGTTGGACAGCCTCGAGAGTGCATCCACTTGTTTTCGCGATGAGACCATCTAATAGACAGTAATTGTCCTTGTGGTAGGACACTGTCAAACCCCCGCGGGTATAGGATGGTCAGGCACCAACCCAGAACCCTTCCCGAGGTGTAGCTGCACACTTACACAGATCAATGTTGATTGAGCCGTCAACATTCAGGTAGAGTTGGCGGTCAGTTATGCTTCCAAGGGCCAGACAGGTGGTTGTCTTGCCAGGTCATGATAAAGATGATGGTGGCATGAATGAGGAATTTGGAATGAGCAGTGAGAGTGCCAGTGTTGTTGCAGGCGGTAGTCAGCAAAGTACGTAGTGTACCCGGCATATGTGTGGCCAGAAGGTATGCGAATAATGACGTGTATGTGTGTTGTCATATTCGCTATACACTAAAAAAAGCATGACTGAGCCAGACTGTTTCGTCAGACTTTCACCGACTCATCAGTATGTGTGTGTGTGTGCATGCTGTCAACTGTCACCACAGCAACCCCTTTTCCACCCAGATGAGTGGATCCAAAATTGAAACAGCTTTATCTCTCTAGCAAACAACATGAAAGACACTAAAACCATGCTTTTCCTTTACAGTCCTTTCTTTGCTTTCATTACTTCGGCTATTTTTGGGTTTTCAACTTTTCTGAGTTTTCTATGTTATTTCTTCTGGTAGCTCCCCTTTTACTGTGCCTCTCATGACATTGTGGTTGAGTGTGAGCTGCCCACATCCCCGAGTGCCATAATGGCCCACTCACCCAGCCGTGTGGTTGAGGGCGATTGTGCAGGTCGCCCGGCCGTCCACCTGTCCGGTGTACCCTGGGCATGTAGAAACCCGTGGGACTTTTCTGCACCCGCCAAAAGCAGCCCAAATCCGGGCATTTTCTGTTTTCAGTGTAGTCCGTTCAGGGAAGGAAGGGGTGTATAAAAGGGGCTTAAAAGGGCCTAAAGGGGTTTAAAGGGGAGTGTGTAATGATGTTTGAAAGGAAGTGAACCCACCACACACTGCTCCCTGAAGATGTTTGAAAAAAAAAGAAAACACAAGGAACTGAACCCACCACACACTGCTCCCTGAAGAACTCCCGGCACTGCCATCCATTTGCAACAGTCAAGATGTAATCCTTGCATGTTCGCTTTATCCTGAGCGACTCCTTGGTCGGCCTCCTCACATCAAGAGCACGTTCAAACCATCTGCAGGAAGTGCATTGAGTTTAGTAGGGGTTTTTTAACTCTTTTTTTTCTGTCGAAGGCATTCAGTTCAGGTTGTCACGAGCTCTGCATAGTCTGCTGCTCTGCTCCTTGTTCTCACAGGCTTTTGTCTTCCCATTCCCTTGTCATCATTTTGTCCTGTTTATCCCACTTCAACCCAGCCATCTGGCCTGCTGCTCCTAA